ATACCTTAGTAAATCTTCCCATTGCAAGGTCCGTTTCCTCTTTCAGGAAATAGCCCTGGGAATATCATTTGAAGTTTTTATTGCATATGTCTTCATGGCGGGAAAGGCCTCAAATATCCAAATCTACAAACAATATAATAACAAACATTAGTAATTGTTAAATAATTACTTATAATTTTGGAAACATCATATAAAAATTCTTACCTTAAAGGCCCAAATAAAGCCTGTCAAAGTGTATTTGGAACCATCGCCATGTAAACTTTTTCGATCATCCAAGGCAGACGATAACTTATTCCATGTAGCTTTCCATAAATACGAGCCCCACGGAAACAGGTTCCACGCATTTAGGTCTTCTACCAATTTGATTAGATCATTTGGAATAGGTTGTTTGGCCTCTCTGCCTAAAAAGCCGGCATGCAAAAGAATTAGAAGGCATACTCGGACAACGTCGACGTCATCCATCCGAGTAAAACCGTCTTTATTATTCAACAATCTTGTCAGGTCTTCTACGTGTAGACTCGGCCTCTCCAGCTCAGGAAAAACCCGGGATAGCCATGATGGGCGGGTAATGTGTCTAGTGTACCGACCTACATCATCGTGTCCGAAGCGTAGACCGGTGATTAAGCAAAACTCCTCCCGCCCAAAACACGTATACGCCGGTGGAAAATCAAACCATATCTCTTCATCACGACGTTGTATAGTCTCTGGTAGATCGCTAGTCATGGTTTGAAGAAGCAGGTGTGTCAACATCGCATCTCCACCGGGATATTGTACTTTCAGCCATGGCCCGAAGCATGTATCCTCAAACATTTTTCTTTGTGCAGGTGAAAGCTTCAACGCAATTGTTTTGGCCAGGCTGACTTTATTTCTCAAGGTCAATTGAGCCGAATAAAAGTTCTATAAAAACAATAAACATACTAAATTAGATATACCAAAAACTACACTGTGAAGATATACCAAAAACAATAATAAACATAAAGAGTAGTAGTTTATTCTTCAAACTTAAATTTGCAACACTGTGAATTTCGTATTTGTCTTTGTTTTTTGGTTGAAGTAATGCAATTCATTCAAGTTTCAATTTGCAAAAGAAGAATAGTTTCTGAAAATGAAAATCGCAACACGAAAATGACTGTCGCAACGCGAATTTGACTATCGCAAAGAGAGAATCGCAACGCGAAACTAAAATCGCGTTGCGATTTGCATTTCGCGTTGCGATTCTCGGTTGATTTAATAAGCAATCTAAGTGAAATGGTTAATCTATTATTGAAATTACCAGTAAACTTATCATCAATTTCAATATGAAAAACCTAATAATAATGCAAAAATTTCAAAAAGAAAATAATTAAAAAACTAACCCTCGTTGGTTGATTTGGTTGATTTTCCATTTCTGATTGTGAGGGTGGCTCTGAGAGATGGAGATAGACGGATTTCGCCGGAGATGGGGACGAATTTCGTCGGAGATGGGTGAGAGAGTGAGAGATGGAGATGGGACTGAGTTGTGATTTTAGGTTTTAGGTTATGAGTTGCGATTACGGGATATACTATGGACGGTTCAGTGTTCCAATATTAATATTCGTGTTTGGAATTTAAAATAAAATACTTGGCCAGGATACTAATGGCGCTTTGAAAATCGCATTGCGATTATGTATTATCGCGTTGCGAAAGTCAGAATCGCGTTGCGAAAGTCAGTATCGCGTTGCGAAAGTAAGTATCTCGTTGCGATTTTGTATTATCACATTGCGATAGTCAATATCGCATTGCGATTTTCCCAATTCGCGTTGCGATTTACTTATTCGCATTGCGATTTTCCCAATTCGCGTTGCGATTTACTTATTCGCATTGCGAATTGGGAAAATTGCAACGACACTGTAGACCATCGCAACGCGATTTTCAACTATCGCATTGCGAAAATGCAACGCGAATTTGCGATAATGGAGATCGCGTTGCGAATTAGCGATCGCATTGCGATTTTGTTGGTCATTTTGGCAAATCCGGAAAAAGTTGGTTAAAAGCGTATATTATATGGGATATTTGGTCACTGAGGTTATTTTCTCTAAAAAAAAAAATTAACCTAACTTCCTTCATGCTAATTGTACGTTTCCCGTACAATATTATTCTAATTGTTCTCTTCCTGAAATTATTCTCACTAGTTACTTAATCGCTTGTTATAAAAATAGCTTACGAAACTCTCAATTGCACACCATAATAAACTAATATATGATCAACCCAATAACACAATAAAAGCTCCATCAAAAACCAAAATGTATAAGTCAGTTAAAGTAGAAAATATACCTACACAAAGTATACACCAACATGATGAATAGGAAAATAACATGATTTAAAATTTTAATATTTTGTTATTATAAATAATGGGTATATTTTTTTTCATTTTTCTTAACATATTAGACTAGTTTTAACTATTTTTAAATAATAGGGATGCACTTGACGAAATTACATCGAGAGAAACATTTTCTATAGAATACTTGGTGGAAATGACTTCATATAAACCAGTTTTTGTGTGACAAAGCTATTCTTCATACAAATCATTTTGAATAACAGCTATTCTGAACATAGTTTTATGAACATAATTATTTTTCATAAAGGCTGTTATGAATTATTTTATTAAACGATTATTATTCTGAACGTTGGTTGTTTCTCAACATAGAACTAAATATCTATAAATTTAAACAAATTTTAAGACAACCAATAGAACTAAATATCTAATATCTATACTGCATTTAACGTTTAATATTTTCATTTAATTTATAATTAATCGATTTCTAATTAAATTAAATAATAACTGAACTTTGAAAACAATTAATTTTATTAATCAAATTGAATTTAATTCAATTAATTTATTCAATTAAAACCTAACAATAAACAACCCGACATGTGTTCAGGTGAAGATGATTGTAATAGTGTTTGTCAATGTTTCCTTTGCTGGGCTTGGGCCATCTACGGACGAGGATCCAACTCATGCGTTGGAAGGAGAGGTCAAAAATATTTAGTCCAATTGGAGACACGAAATATATTCCATCGATGGATTGGTCTAATGGTCACACGATTTTTTAGGGTAAACTACACTGGAGAATAGTTAACTATAGTTTCTTTTCATTTTGACCATTACTTTTTAATTTTTCAAATTGGAGCACCTAATTATTTAAATGCATTCAATCAAGCCAATAACCGTTAACAGTTAACGGAAGCGATGACGTGGTAGTTTAAATATCCTTCTAAACTTACATTTTATTCTAAATTATTAAATCTACTTTGTTCTTGTCTTAACCTAAAATAATATTTTATTTTTATTTTAACTTATTACATATATTATATTCTTAAACTAAATTATTAAATATATTCTAGTCTTACCTTAAATTATTAAATATAATTTATTCTTATTTTAACATAAACATATATTTTATTCTTATTTTTATTATATATATTATTTTATTTTAATTTAAAAATATATTTTGTTTTGTTTTAATTTTTATATTTATAAATTGAAATATTATAAGAATAATTTTAAAAAATTAAAATATATTTTATAAGTTAAAATAAGAATAAAATATAAATAATTAAGAAAAGATAAGAATAAAATATATAGTTTTAATGTTAAGATAAGTTTAGACTAGTATTCAATATATACAGCATATGTAGTGCATTTAAAACCCAAAAGTTTGTTTGGTTTAGTGTTAAACTGCTCATTCATTAGTTTGAGTAAAAATCTAATTTGTTTCCAAAAACAAAGTTGAAAATGAAAAGGTTAGAAATCCTATCTTTTGCGGTTGGTTTAAAATTATCGTTTTCACCGTAATTTTTTTTTATTTTTACCTGTTTGACATTGATTTTGTAATCAAAATAATTTTTTTAAACTAAAATATTTTAAAAAAAACTTTACTAACGGAAGTATAATAACTATCAAACAGTCTAATTAGATGATATGATAGGTTACATAAACCGCAAATCATTATGTTATATATGGACAAGTTAAGTTAGAATGATTACCACCATTATAGTCATTTATAGTATCTAAACTAGATTAGTCGATAAATAGATAAGACACGAATGATTATAAAAGATTTTTGTATATAAATAGATATATTTTTTATAAAACATCTTTTTATATTTATAAAGGTTATTATTTGATTCGTAAATTGTATAAAAATTATTTTACATAGCCGGTCTATTTTATTCACAAATCCTTTTTTTATTAATATATGGTAAATGCAAGGCATTATATGTTCAAAGATAACTCTCAATCATTTGACATCGAACATTCACACTCATGACATTCCTGGTTCTTGAACTCAGAAGCTCAAGGTATAACAACAATTATTTTACCATTAAGGTCACTTTGTTCGTACTTTAATCTAAAATCCTAAATATAAAATCTTAACCCAAAATCATAAACTTTAAAAACTAAATTCTAACACTCAATTTAAACCTAAATCATAACTTATAAACCCTAAAACCGTAACCTTTAAATAAACATGTGAAGTTAATTAGATAAATTTGTGTGAAATAAAATTATACACTGTATATATCAAATAACTTTTTTAATGAAAAAAATTAATAATTAACTTGGTTCTTCTTCGGTTATTAGGGTTTAACCATTGTATGCGCGTGGTTGGTGCCTGGGTAATTAAGGTAATCAAATATTTAACCAAACTTTTTTGATGTCCCTTTAACTTACAGTCAAATACTCAAAAGAGATGAATAAAGCATGTTAATATTGAATTTTTTTAATGAAAAATATTATTCATTAACTTGGTTCTTCTTAGGTTATTAGGGTTTAACCATTGTTCTTTAGAATTAACAAACTACAAGCTTTACTTTAATTGAAAAATGTTTATGAAACCTTTAATATATAGGTCAAACTCTTGTCAAGCATGCATACATGTAAACGATATATACTAAACTTCAGAATTAAAAAGCATAAAAAACATGATTGATTGAAAGTTATAATCTTTGATTGTCTAGCAAACAATACAAATCCCCCATCCTATTAAAAGATTACCAGTTAGGAATGAAGCTGATAATTTTTCTCCCTTAGAAAATAATCCAAATTTGCTTCAAATCTCCACCATTGAAGAGAAGAAAATTCATCTACTTCACCACTTGAGGTAACCCTTTTCTTTTCCTTCTTATTCCCACTTAGCGAAGCGTCTAAAAAGTTTCCGAGGCTCAGCCCTCAACCACAAAGCTTATTAGGATTAAGCCTGGGAAACTTTTAAAGCCATAACCTAATTTAGAAACATGGTACAAGTTAAAGGGTACTTGGAAATCAAATGGCCTAGTCGTCGGAGCCGGTGGTGCATTCCTTGTCGAGCTCTTCAAAGCCTTCGAGCGAAGGATGAGGAGAATGGCCCTTGCCGAATGACCTGATGTGATCTTTAAGTGATCTTTTGTGTTTAAAATCTGATCCACAGGTGCAATACCACAGCTTCCCACAGTTCTTCTCGTGTGTTCTCCAATCCCCCTTGACAGCGAACGGCTTCCCGCATTTCCGACACATGAACGGCTTTGCGCCATGTTTTCTCTTGTAGTGAGTTTGGAGTGTCCGGAAGTCTTTCAACGGCTTGGCTTGTGGGTGGTTGATGTTGTTCTTGCAGCCTTGAGCGCAGCAATAGCATGGCAGCCTCAGCATTCCAGCTGGTTGTGTTCCTTTGAGTGAATCTGGCCCTTTCCTGTACTCTGATCCATGCCCCCACATATGCATCTGTATTCAGATTTTGATGTTAATTTGCAGCTAGTGATGTTTAAGATATGTTTACTAAGCAAAAAAGGCAACTCCAAGGAGCATCAAGTTGAATAGTTAAAGTGATTAAAGAGTGGAAATTGAATGATTAAAGAGTGGAGATTTTACTCAACAAAAAAGATAAGAATCCAAAGCTGCTCAAATTAAAATCCCACACCTTTGCTTTAATTTTTCCTAATCAATTCCTACCCCTTTCTTAATTATAGTCTTTATGTAATCATTTTTCTTTGTATGTTCTACATGAACAAGATAATTTTTTTTCCCAAAGATTACTTAGATATATAATTTTGTGGAAATTTTCTCAAAGAATATCGACGAATTGACTCAAAACGAACATATTTTTGCATGCAATAAGGACTAAAACCGATTGAAAATGAAAATAATTGCTTGGTTCATAAGATTAAACACAGGAAGATGAAAAATCGACTGACCTGCATGTTATTGTACCTATTGAAAGTCTTGCTGCATATGGAACAAGCAAACTGCATGGGGCCGACGAGGATCTGTGCTGGTGTTGGGATCCAAAACCTACTCTCTGTGTTGAAAGAACAACCATGGAAGCATCTTTTCTTGGAGGGTTCTTCTTCTTCTTCTTCCTTAAAAACCTTATTTTCAAAAACTGGATCTGTTGCACAACTGTTAGGCAACCCAATGTGCAAAGAAACTGCAACTTTCTCCATCTTTTCTTCTTTAACAATATTCTGTTTCGATGATTTGTTCTCCGTCAGCCTGCTTAAAAGGGGTAGGCATTGAATAGTTTCCCGCCCTTGTTGCTGCTGCTCCGATAACGATGATGATGACGATAGCGATAGCAGTGAAGGAGGAGTAGGAGAGGAAGATGGCTTGAGCCATTCAATGAAAGTAGGAGCTTGGAGTTCCTCAACTTGATAGCTCCTAAACCCCATCTTCATCATCAGGAAAAAGATTGAAGAATTTTGAGTTGTTTTTATGTGTATGAAAAAGCCTCGAGCCTTGCAAATATAGCAGCTGGTTTATGAAAGTTGGTTTGGTTTGTCCTTTAGGACCAAGTACACTTTTTTTCCTCCTTTCCCACCATTGTCATTTGTTTGATTTAGGGGAAGAACATGAGAGAGTGAAAATCTTAAAGAGAGATTAGTGGTGGGGTTTAAGAAAATGACATGCACAAATATAAACACAAGAGAATCCTACAACAGTACCATCTAGGGTTGGATTGAGGGTAACTAATAGGATTATCTAAAATTTTAAATTTGTCTCCCAAAGATAAAAACATATGTCCATCCCTAAACCATAAACACATATATTGATCAGAAACAGTGATCTTTGAGTTATTTCCATCGAGTAAATGATGAAATTGACCAACCCAAAACACATTGCAGCAGATGACCTAAAAGCATTTTTAGTCAATACCTAAAACAACAGGAAACTGAAATTAAAGGGTCAAAAAATTAATTGTATTTTCTTGGAAAGAGAAAAAGAATGTTATATTATATAATATACAACGTTCAATTTATTATTTAGACAAGAAATAATTTTATTGGCAACGATGAATAAATTAGACTCATATATATCTGTGGTTCAATCAGGTATATGAAGGCGTGATTTCAACATAGGCTGCTGGAAAAGAAAAAAAACATAGCCATTTTGCCACATACATATTATTTTGTGAAATCGAACTAACCTATCTCAGTAATAAAGAAATTATTATTATATTTTAAAAGCTCAAATATTTAAGAGTTATCTTTGAACACAGTAGTGAATTTATAAATATTTTTAGGGTGGATAAGAATATGCTAATTTTTTTAATAGGATGGACAATATCAGTAAAACAAGTAATTAACATAAGAAAATTCGGGTTTCAGAGTGGACACTATCAATAAAATAAGTAACTAATCGGAAAAAAATAAATTTCAGGATAGACACTTATCCATCATCAACCCTTAACAAATTTGTTACTGTTTGAATATATATTGTAGTGTAATTACCTTATACTAATAGAAAATAATTTTGTGAAATCAGGGTGATATACACCAGGGTTTTCTTTTCAACATTTTGACCTAATGAATTTGCCCGTTCACCTAATTAAAATTAATTATTGTAATGAAACATCTTAGATTTACAAAAGAAGCAAACGCATGGTTTTTATTTGACTCGGTAAATATCAATTTAGTAAGAAACTCGATCATTTTAAGCTTTGATTAAGATAATTAATCATATTTATTCAACTTAGTATTTAATAAAATGTGCTTCGTTCTTGAACCACAAAAGTATTTAGTTGAATAAAATTATATAATTCATTTGTTCTATTAATTTACTCTCAATCTTTCGATATTGATCGCTCATATCCATGCCATTTGTAGTGCTCGAACCCGAATCCTCAAGAATAATAACAATTCATTTACCATAGAGGCCACTAGATTCATGCTTAAATTTCAAATCTTATTCCTTCCTTTCGCATTAAATTTTTAAATTTTAAAAATTTATTATTTGATTTAATGGTAAATAAGAGTTCTTTTTTTTATTTAAATTGAGAGCTCGACCACAAAATTAATAATATAATATGTGATTTAATGAATTTATATTAAAAAAAACTTTTTATACAAATTATACATACCGTTGATTAAGATTAAAACCACATTAATCACAATCCACCACATGTTATATTACCCAAACAACTGTTATATTACCCTAATTCAAATGAAATTTAAAAAATATGTAATATAATTTTTATTAGATTTTTTATTGAATTAAACAATAATAATTCATTACAATATCAAAAATACAAAAATATATTTAAGTAAACAAATACTTATAAAAAAATATTGTCTTCGAATATTTCTTGATGTAAAATCATTGGTGATAGTGTCAACATCAATACTTTTCAACGTATTTTTCTCAGTAAATAACATAGCATTTGAAAATAAAAGAACAATCTTATCTAAAGTTTGGAAATATATAAAAATCAAAAGAAAGAATTTGGAAACATGATCATACCTAAAATTTTAAGAACAATCTTCAATATGATTTAAGCACCACAATTGATGATAAACAATTATGACTTTGTGTTTATGAGAAATTAAAAAAGTGAGTAATAATTTTCAGAGGAATTGTGAAATATGGAAGAGAAAAAACGGACTAATTATACTTAAATATTCTTCTCTCACTGAGTTTTGAAGAGAAAAAAATGATGTCAATAAAATTTTCATGGATATGGAAAACCGGAAAAGAGATTGTTGAATTAATGGTGAGAATTTGAAGAGACCAAAGTTAAAGAGATTCAATTGAATTTTTTTAAAATATAGGAAAAAATGTTAAAGTAAAGTTTTATAGGAAGTGAAACTGTTTATCAACATTAATATAAAATTCAATAATAACAATTGACACCTTAATAAATTTATGGACCATTTTATTTTATTTAACAAAATTTTAAAATTATTATAAAGAAAATAAAATATTATATTAATTTTTTTAATTTATGGGCCTTGAGTGGGTGCCCCTGTTACCCTGGCCCAGGGCGAACAAGTAATTAACTTATTAGCTTGATATTTTATACACTTCTTTTGTCAGTTTATATTATAAAAATGGAATTTTTATTATTATTCTGGAGTAAGTACAAAACAATATATGTTTAAGGATAATTTACAACTCTTTGACATTAAACGCTCACACCCCTAGCTTTTCATGGTGCTTGAATCTGAGTCCTCAATAAATAATAACAATTCTTTTATCACAGATGTCACTTCATTCGTGTTAAAATTAAAATTTTATATAAAGTATAAAAAAAATTAAAATTCAAAATTCCTTTTAAACATTATTATATATATATATATATATATATATATATATATATATATTACATTTTAATTTATTTTTTTACAAATTCACAGTTTTTAATGAATTTTTAGTTTTAAAAAAAAAATTAAGTATATTTTCAATTTTTAAAATCATTAAATTTAAATTGTTGAGATTTCGTTTTCTAAATTTTCATGATTTTCTATTTTTCTACATCTTTTCAGAATTTTAAAACTTGCAGTGATAATGACAAATTAGTTCTCCAACTTTGCATAAATTGTCACTTTATCACCTATATTTATAGAGCATTTTAACCTTTAACGTTTCATTTTTTTTGTCAAAATAGCCTTAGTTAGATGAAAATCGTTAGTTAACTGACAATTTACACGAATTGCTGCCACATCATCGCTTTGGATGACGTGGTACATGTCATGTTACCAATTAAGCATATATAAAAAATATCATATAAGCAACATGTATCGACTATTAGTCAACTAACGATTTCCATCCAACAAAGACTATTTTAACCAAAATTTAAATTGTTATGGGCTAAAATGCTTTAAAAAAGAATAGAAGACAAAGTAACTATTTGTTCAAACGTTGGGGCTAATGTTATTATGCCAAACTCTTATTACACAATATTTTTTTTATAATTTTTAGTGAATACAAGATAGTATCTACTCAAATATTCTCAAGCATTTAACAATAAACTTTTATACCCATGCATACGCGATACTCAAACTAGAGACCTCAAGAGATAACAATAATCCCTTGATCGTTGAGGTCACTTGGTATAACGATCGATCAAATCCACAAAAGAATTATATACGTGACAAACTGATAATGTAACTATGAAAAAGGGACTAAAACACGCATTAAACCTTTTTTGGTTTTAAAGGGTTCAAAACTTTAACTACAAAATCTTTGTGCAAATGAAGATGATAGTACCAAAAAATTCCAATATAAAGATATAGAAAGAATAAAAGAAATAGAGCATCAGCTACATTAGGAATCACCAAATGATATTTAGACAGATTGATCCCCCAATTATGCAATAAAAACTCATCGAGGCTTTAAGCTCTCAATCTTATCAATTCTTTTATTATTATTTTTGCCGACAATATTTTGTGAACGGATTTTCATGTTTTAACCCTTTCCTTTTGTATGTTTCTTGCATGCTTTTTCATCATCTTTCGCTCCACTTTGCCATCTTTTCAACACCCAACTTCCATATCTCTCCTTATTCCGACATGCTTGCAAATTTATGGTTTTAAGCCTTGCAATTTCTGAAATGATATAAAATAGTTTACGTTTGCTCAAGTGTATTGTTATTATTCCAATATATTTGGGGCAGTTTGGAAAAAAAAAAGTTTGCGGGAGTAAAATACATGTAATAAAAGTTTAAGAGAAAATTGTTAAACTGGTAAAGTTAGGGGGGAAAAAGATATTCTTCATGTTTTTGCCATCATGTTAAAATCTTTTCAATCCGTTAAATTTGTACTATCTATTAGTAGTAGATTTAGTTTTTACTCTAATATTATCAACTTTAATCTATGTATTTTGTTTTTGTCTAGACTCAAACGAAAAAAGTCATATGAATAAATATACAATTTAAGCATAATACTAGTGTTAGAAAAATAGCTCACTGCAAAACAAAATATTATCACTTATTGGAAAAATAAATAAGATAAATGAATAAAGATTAAATAATAGTATTGCATCGTGTAGTCACTGTCTTAGAATTAACTTCGCCTGGACTGGTGAAATCCCTAAAATGGATGTTGCCCCCCAAGCTTAAGACAGTCTTCTGGATTTCGTACACTCGAAATAAAGAAGTGGAACTCGAAATAGTGTTGTTTTCTTGAGGAAAGGAAAATATTTTACACAGGGTAAATTCTACCGGAAAAGAAAAACTTCACTATGCTTTGTGAAGAGAGAAAATGTAGAAGATAAGAGGAGAATGAAGAGATGAGTGAGTTGAAATGGAGTAGAAAACCTCCTTTCATAGGTAAAAGGTAAGGGCATATAGGTAAAATTTTTAAGAGAAAAATCAGTAAAATAATCTCAACTTCCCTTATTTTCTCAACATTTGAATTTTAGTTAATTTAAAATTCAAAAATAGATTTATTTCTTATTCTTTGCATTATTATTATTATATATAACCAACAATCTTGAACGAATCTTGTCGCAAAGGTAACTACTGGAATAATAACAATACACTTAAGCTAACGTAAACTATTTTATATCATTTCATAATTAAAAGAATTAGAAATCCACAAAAGAATTAAAAGAAAAAAGCTACA